ACCCTCATCAGTGACCGGACGATTGTACAGCATACCATCCGCAGCCGAAGCAGGGACTGGTATCAGGACCCAAACTGTGAGAATCCGGTCTGCAGGAGGCCGTGCAGGACGGTGGGAGCCCAAGACACGTGTGAGATAGAGTCGCCCCCGGCGACCCCCCTCTCTCCATGACGGAGCGATGGGAGGAAACCGGGGACCAAACAGGGTGCGTCCGAGAGATGACTGTGGGAGATCTGAGGGGTACGCCCGACTTGAACCGTCACACCTTGTCCGTTGATCCCCCCTCTGATCTACATGGACCTGATAGGCTTTCAGCATTTTCTGTGTGTGTTTGTTCCTATGAGGGCTTTCTCGGATGTGTGGCGTCAACGAGGCCACCCTCTTGGATCGTGCTTCGTGTTTTGGGTGGTGAAACCCCGGACTGGTGAACCTAGAGGGGCAGCGGGTAGACAGGGTTTCTGGGGGTGGGGGCCATGATGGTGGCGATTGCGGGGCGTTCAAGGGAGCTTATGGCAGAAAGTGCAGGGAGGAAAAGTTGTTTGGAAACCAGTAGTGGAAACCGATCCATGCTGGTCGGTGTGCTTGAACTATGGAACGATCGGACAGGTGTGTGAACTCCCAATGTAAAACATTTTCTTTTTAAGAAAAATATAGGATTCTTAAAGACACTGAATATCAAAGACAACACGAATGAAAACTGGGGGGCAATGGTGTTGGATTCCTGTCAGGACCCACAAGATGAAGCCGTGGGAACCTAGCCCTTTTTCAGTCAGGGCTACCTGCCTAGCCGGGCACAACGTTCACCTTGTTAATTTAGTCATGCAAATCTTGGTGTCTCGAATTGGCTTTTCTGGTCCGCATAGCAAATGATCACGGACCCTGTCTGTCTTCTCTACGCAGTTACCCTGCCTCGGGGGCCACTTACTGCAGTCCCCAGGTCAACCCTTCAGAGTCTCCTTTGAACACACTCACCTGAAAAGGTGAGTCGGCATCATCCGAGCTCCTTTTTGCTCCGTTTTAAATTTGTTCTCCGTTGTAGTGTGCGCTGCTTTCTGTCTGATTGAGGTTTTCCTCTGTTATGCGGTCAGTTATTACTGTTATTTTTCATGTTTCCCCGTATATGAAATCCAGGACTGATAAATCGACAGAGCGACAGTAAGTGGATTCATGGCTCCTTGGGGGGCAGGCAGGGCAAGTTGCCGGGGCAACAGAACCACCACCAAGGGATGGTGTGCCCCTCACACACTCTTCTGGGTGGGCTGGTCTACTGAACTGTATGATATGTGACTTACATG